TGTGTTTGGACATTGGGGGACCTGGTGGTAACGTTTGTGACATGTGTTTTAGCATTTGAGAAAAACTGTAACTCAGTGTTGCAGAATCACAGTGATTCATTAAAAACGTCTGCAGAAGTTGCAAACTTATGATTCACGTCATAAGTTATGATACACTGCTCTCCCCTACATAAGCTGCTTCTATAGATTAAAAGTATCAGCAATACTGGCCATACATTTACTTGGTATCACATCTATCCCACAATCTGCAGTACTGCACACACTAAGATCACAGTGGACAGATTCTGTCTCTATGCTGGGAACGTCTGTGTTTCCCGGGATCAGCTGTTGCAGATTGTTGGTGCATGGAGGGCTGGGGCCTCTTCTGCCCCCCCAACAGAGACCACGTAGGTAGTCGGAGGCTGTAAGACAGCGGAGGATGACAGGATTCAACCAGAGAAGCTGCTTCATTATAAAGTCTGTGGTTTATAACTGAAATCTATGATACACATAAACACCCGTCCATGCACTTAAGTAGTGAGTGAGTATTCACTCCAGTGATGACCTGTGAGAAAGAAACTGCACACACAGCGATCGGGCGTTATCAGTGACCATAAGATTATTATTGCCAAACAAGGACCTGCAGCTCGAGCAGGCTGAAGAAATCCTTTAATGCTGATGCAGGCTTCACAGTGTAGAAACGAGAACTCTAAGAAACAAAAGAGCAGAAGTCATGTATGAAACACAACACAGTTAACATGTGAAGCACTTAAAAGAAAACACAAATAAAACACTTCAAGTGAGGTGTGGCGATTTAAACATTGCCTGTACTGCTCAGCAGTTGTAATGGCATCAAGAATATCTGCACATAGTTCATAATTACAATTAGAATGAACATTTCTTTCACTAAACTCAAAGTCACTCATTGTAGAGCGACATCACTATTTTAACGCAGATAGGTCCAAATACAGGATGGTGGGTCACCCACCCTCCTGCTCCAACATGGTAGGAAAATTATACGGTAGAAAATGTTCATATTCATAACAATGTGAAATTTCTGCTTTAAATACTTTTATATATGTTTTTAAAATGGTCCCTCCACCCACTTTTAGTCCTTTTTCAGACATTGAAATCGGAGGAAATGTTCCAAAAATGTGCTGATTTGAAAGTGAATGATGCCGATCTTTGTTTCCATAGCACAGATTTGTCTGAGATAGGGCTGCCACAAACGATTATTTTGATAGTCGACTAGTCACCGATTATTTATGCGATTAGTCGACTAATCAGATCATCATCCACTGGACGTAAAACTACAGCTTATTGCACCAGCAGCATCTGCTCTTATATAACTATCATTAGCTTACAGCTTTAAGCTTTTAAGGTGCTAACTAAAAATAAAGACAAGATGATAGTTTATTAATTTTAATGAAATTTGCAGATTGTTTCGGTAAGTTTAATAAACTCCTTGCTATCTAAAATATAACAGGACACCGGAGTATATTCTCCAGCATCTCACACTTCTGATAATCAGCTGTCTGCTTGACGTTTATTCAGCTGTGTAAAAACTATAACTTTAATCTCAGCCAAACCGATTTACTCAGGAACAAATAAAATACTAAAAAAAGCCAAACAATAACATTTTAAGTTATCTAAGTGACTCATATATCATGTTTAACCTGAGTAGGAAAGACGGCGGTGGGTTTGAAAACGATTTGCCGGGAGTCCGGTGTTCTCACGGCGCTAGTGACCTAGCCCCCGGCTAGCTATCGAGCTAGTGGGTAACAGACGTCTCCGAAAACGTCGGAGCGCTTTTGAAAATATGCGGTGTCCTGATAAACTGAGCAGATATTTGAGGTTTACACAGCTACATTCTCGCCTGAAAATATGTTAAACGTTTATTTTGTGACCCAGAAAGAATAATAAGAGTAATATTAAAACTAACTAGCTGCCGCCATTGTTGGAAACTGAGCTGGGCCGCGCTATGAATTCTGGGACACAGCTGTCTTCTTCTTCTTCGGGGTTTAACGGCAGCTGGCATCCTTGTACATGCAGTGCTGCCATCTTCTGTTTCAGTCCGTTATTACACTCTTAAATCCTGCTACTTATTCCTGCGTCTTTTGTGATCTTACAAAGCTTCAAACGACGCGTCGACTATTAAATTTGTCGTCGACGATTTTGATAGTCGACAAATCGTGGCAGCCCTAGTCTGAGACATCATCGAGTCTCAGCCTGTGCCTCTAAGGAGCGTCCAGCGTCCGGTTCATTGTTCATTTCTATCATAATGCACGCACTGGGGTTAAATATTGAATAACAATGTTCTTCCAACTTACGTTCTTCCCACAGAGTTCAGACTCAATACTGTTAATAACAGACAATCATAGGGTCCTGCTGCCCACACTGTTATAGTTCTTACAGAAATACAGGCTGAAACATACAGATAGGAGCAGCTAAGAGAAGAAGAAATGTGCTGAAACTGTCAGAAAGGACATTTATTTGTTTCCACTTTACATGTGAGCAGCACAGCAAACACAGTGAAGCCAGTTAACCTCAAAGTGCACCAGTCACAGTGGACACGGAACAAAGCTTCGACTTTCATTACATTCATTACCATCAAACTCTGTTGTGATTTAACATTTACTTCAGCCTCCTTTAAATTTGATTCATGTGACATCAGGACAACATTCCAGGGAGAAGCGATCGAGCGGCGTCCCCCCGGTGTTTTATCCCACATCTCGTACTCAACGTTTCTTTCAGCCCAGAAACGTTCATGTGATCATCGAAGATTTAAGCGTCAGCATCAAAATAAAAAAGAGTCAGATTTCAACAAACTCCTAAGAATTTCAGGGACCTGTACAACCGTAACAATTTTCAGGAAGAATCTTTCATGGTTTCATCAAATATGCTAAAGTCAGTCCAACATAAACTGGTCAGTTCTGAGGAAGCTCTGTGATTTCATATGGAATGGCTGGGGCTCGAGTATCACATCCAAGGTTGTGTCAGATAAGGAAGAGAAGTGGAATACAGCAGGACACCTGCAGCCTGGTGATACAGGAGCAATAAAAACGGCACACAGTGCTATTAATGATCACCAGCAGTTATCAAACTGAAGCTAGACACCCGGATGTTTCTTTCACAGCACATAACAACATTTTAGACTGCTACAGTTTCAGTTATGCACGGTGAGGTTTGTCGCACACCTAGATCACACAGCCTTATACAAACAGGAAGAGGCGTGCTCAGCTCCACCTTCTCTGAGGCTACCCTGTAAATGCCACACGTGCCTCACAAGGAAAGATCTCAGCTGCCACACTGAGAGTGGTGAAGGCAAACGTCCAGCCTGGCTCCAGTGGCTAGTGCAGGTTGGGATACTTCACGCAGAATCTGTCAAAGGCATCATATATGGCCTGTCTGGAAAGGAAACAGGTAAGGTTAACATAGCAAAGCTGTCCATGACAAACAAATCATATACATAAAAATGATGAAATACTGTGAGGGTGGCCCAACTCTAACATCAGGTTAACCAGACAACAGCCACAGTTTAACGAACATTCTCAGACATGTTAAACCGTCCACAGCCAGAGTTATCTGTCTATATGTACCACGCCTGAACCAGGAAGTGCAGCTGTGACACTTCTACAAACAACTTCAGCTCCTCTGAACAATTTCTAGATTTTTCTTTGAATTTGACGTCATATTTGGTACAGTGGAGACATCATTCAGGCATTGACATCTAGTCTAAATTCATATTCATAATGAAGGACGCTCTGGTCCATAATGCTCATTGCATTGTTACTAGTGTCAACTTTCTGCTGTAAAACAGCAACGTTTCAAAACTAGAGCTTGTAGAATAGAGCAGATAAATATGGATTGTGTGTTGCCAGCGAAGTATTCTCAGATTTTGCATGTTTTTGTGTGAGTATAGTTTAATTAGGCATAAATGAGAAACTTAAAAAACACCTTTTGGATCATTTTCAACACTATAAGTTTACCTGAATATATTCTGTTTAAATAGGTATGCACTGATGTGTCCTCCTCTCAGATATCTGACTTCACAGCCTGGCCAGATCTCCTGCAGACTCAGGACTCCTGTTCGGGGCACATACGCATCCTCTTTGGCCTGGACGACAACGATGAGACTGGTATCTACAGGAACTGCAGCAGAGAGGGAAACACAGGGACATCTACACAACATTCTTTCACTTTTGTGCAAAACACATGCAAATCTTATCTGCCAGAAGAGGGTGGTAGACACAGCAGGAACAGTGAGCTGTTAAACATTACTGAAGATCAGCTGGGTCCTCTGCAGTGACCTGTGCCTCCTCTCACCTCACAGCTTCTTGTATAAGCCAGGACGAAGCTCATCCTATTTCCCTCACAGTGTTCTAGCTTCACAATGACAATCCTGGAGAATGATTACAATCCCTGTGTTGTTCATTCAGCAGCAGAACTGATCTTCTGTGCCTTTTGATGGTGTATCAGTATCAAACATTCAATAAATCCTTTGTTCCTTGTATTGTACGTAATCTTCATCTTGCTTGTTTTTGTTTTTTGTTTTGTTTTCAGAGACAAAAGAGCCCGTAAGGAACTGTCTACATACGGCCCAAGGAGCGAGGACACAGGTCTCTATTTTAGCAATGAGCAGAAAACTGACACTTCCTGTGTAAAAGCAGATTAAACAAAGGCTCTACAGGTGCGAAAAAGACGGTGCCGAGTTTCTCTGATCTGAGGAGAACGTCGTTTTTCATGAGCTTGTTGCGAGTCTCTTAATTCTTTCCACACTTGGCTGATATTCCTTCTATACGGTTTCAATTTTACAAGCCAACGGCTTCGTGGTGTCATTGTCCATCTTTCTGTTTTGGCGTCAGTTGTCTCACTCATTGTGCCATGCTCCAGTATCCACACTTTAATGGCAACAAACAAACCAGTATGACCATCACGACCTTCAATTCATCAAACGTCAGCAGCCAACGCTTTTATCACAGCATCAGCTCTTTAGTATCACCGCCAACAACCAAGCATCACACGCCAACTGTAACGACACCACCTGCAACCTTATTGGTCAAAACCATTTCTGACGGCTGTGATGTGCTGCTGACAACAACCGTATACATTTGTGTTATATACTGGCATGTGTAGAATATACTTGTATATATATTTTGTAACTTTGTAATATGTTGTATTATCCAGTTACTGTTCTTCATGTCTGGGAGCAACTCTGACCACAGGGATTAATTCAGTGTTGTGATTCTTCGCTTGTTCTTCTTTAAGCAGAGGTGTAATCATTCACTGCAGCCCTCACCAGAGAAGTTGGCCATGTGTGTGCACTCATCCATCACTCCCTTCATGAAACTTATAGATTCTTTGTGTAAAGATGGACGACAACATTCGGCGGGATCCGTCCTTCTCCCGTGTGCGTTATATCCACCAAGAGCTCTGAGGAGACAGAAAAAATGACCATGTAAAAACGGTTTTACGTCCCTTAATAATGAAACATTCTCACTGGGGATAAGACTTGCTTATTCTTATTCCATTATCGATATCACTTTCACAGCTTCATTGCATCCTTCGGTCAAATGTTTGTGGCTGTGGAACCTGCCTGCAGAAGCTTGGCACACTTAATCAAGTTATTATTTTCCCCACTGTATACTGCAGTGCACTGTATACTGCAGTGCACTGTATACTGCAGTGTATACTATAGTGCACTGTATACTATAGTGCACTGTATACTATAGTGCACTGTATACTATAATGCACTGTATACTATAATGCACTGTATACTGTAGTGTATACTATAGTGCACTGTATACTATAGTGCACTGTATACTATAATGCACTGTATACTGTAGTGTATACTATAGTGCACTGTATACTATAGTGCACTGTATACTGTAGTGTATACTATAGTGCACTGTATACTATAATGCACTGTATACTGTAGTGTATACTATAGTGCACTGTATACTATAGTGCACTGTATACTATAGTGCACTGTATACTATAGTGCACTGTATACTGTAGTGCACTGTATACTGAGTGCACTGTATACTTATGTCTAGTGCACTGTATACTGTCAGTGCACTGTATACTATAGTGCACTGTATACTATAGTGCACTGTATATTGTATGCACTGATAATATACTATATGTAGTGCACTGTATACTATAGTGTATACTATAGTGCACTGTATACTGTAGTGTATACATATGACGTA